AGGAAACTTAACCTTTCGCCAGGAACGGACTATCTACGCCGTTGCATCGCTGCACTCTCCGCTGATCATTCTCGAACCCGTACCGATTTTAATTGCACAATCCATGCGCGGCTCTCTTTCTCTTCGTCTTATTCTTTTTCCTCGGGATACTCTTCCCTCTCTCTCTCTCTCTCTCTCTCTACTTCACTCTCGTACTCTCCTCCCGTGGGAAACGTATCACGGATGCTGCTGACGTTTCACCAGAGGACGATCTTCTAGCTCGTCCCGTATCCTGTTTACGCTCTAACGAAAGTCCTGCGGAGTCGATGGAATTAACCAGGGTAACTGTTATCGTGGCTTGTCCGATGCAGCCGTCGTGTCCAGGTAACTGCTCACCCGTCCGCGCTATCCTGGCGAGTGTCTACCAACAGCGAATTGTTCTCTACGGTTTGCCTCTTTCACGACTGGAACACGGAACGACGTCTTCCACGTCCTCGTCGACGTCGTGCTGGTTCACTTCGTGGGTGTTCCTCGGGTCTGCAACAATGCCACAGGGATCATATTACTCCTAGAACATGTTTAACAGAACCAGCATAGAATCTTTGGATCTGGAGGGTCAATTGAAACTTGTGTATTTACTGGAAGTCTGTGTGGTTATCAATGGGCTCCTTTCATGGCGGGCTATTTTAAAACGACGGACGAGACTATTGATTGAATTTTTTTTGGTCGTTTCGAATGTCTACTATTATTCCTGCGGTTTTCTAATACGAAATATCGCTCAAAGATATATAGTTTCTAAACTTCTTGAAATCCAATCGGCTCCGCTGTCGTGTGCTGCTCTCAGTGTTCTGCTCTCTTGACGATGCTTGTGTTTCCGACTTTATGAGACTACGTGTGCAATGTAAACAGTGTCGTGCACCTTGGTACAAGCTTTGGCTCTTACAGATGGGTAAGTACTTGTCCCCAGGAACCCCGGTGAACGTGCTTCGGTGTACAGCCACGCAGAGGAACTTGGATCGAATCGATAGTCGATAGATTAGTTGAATCGACTGAAGCAGGGGGAGGATGGGATGCGTCAAAATTGTGTATGGATAGCCCGCATGACGGAAGTGAGGTGTGGGTCTTCCTTCCTGCTTGATACTCACGTTAGACCACGAAGCGGATGTTTCCCATGGCTCCGGCATGTCGAACGGGTCTGTCCGGGAAAACCGTGCGATTCCCCAGGTAACGGAGCAGCGTAAATCGTCGGCGCAGCAGACGCAATTAGTCGCCAAGCAATGTGGCGGCCGTTGAAGAATTCGTTATAATAAAGCAAAACCAACATTCCATACAAGGCTTCTGGTTTATGGTGCTTAACGCTGCTCTTGCTCCGGCCAACCGAGAGACGCTCGGAGTGCGTGGGTATATACGTGCGTCTAGAATAAACAAGAAAGACGATAATTATGGAGTCATTAGGCGCGAGTCGACTGCCTACAACCTATACGGGGTTTACGCAAGCCGTCGCCGGCGTCGTCAGGCTAAAGATATTCGTATCGGCGCCATTCGCATTCCAGACTGTCACACGCTGCAGACCCGCAATCAGCTGCGTTCTAACCTTCTACCTAAAGGTTCAGCCTTTTTATTATCTATTAGCGAACCTATGAAATAATCTACCTGGACACCCGGTATATCCTCGATGATTCAGCCTTATCCGCACTGAGCCATCCAAGCAATATCACGGCAGAGCTTTGACAGCGTTCCTGACAGTCCTGCAATGGGCCTCCTGTCTTCTCTCTTCCTGGCTTCTCTCCACTGGATCCTCGCTCTGCGCTCCACGGGCAGAAGGACGTGAGAGATCAGACCCCAGGATCGGCCCCGAGGCGTGTCTCCCTCGTATGACCCGTGACTCCCTCTGTTCCCTGACAGCGCAGTTGAATCGTTTCGCCAGTGCTGGAGGATTCTCGGCCGGGAAGCACTTTGCCATTCCCATAAGTATCACGACTTCGCCTTGGTAATCACGATAAATCATGCCCACTTTCAGACAATTATTACTTCGCTAGGGACGCCATGTATAATTCCGATGCGTCACGACGGACGTATTTTGATAATTCTTTTAATCCTTCTACCGACTGTCTTTCCTCGTCTCATGTCCTTTCGCCATTTTCGAATTATCCAAATTCCATAAGCGCTCCAGTCCTCGCGTGGCTGTGATCTCTATCTGACGGTTCTTCGTTTCACAGGTGAACATCGCGACTCGAGCAGAATGGAAAATAGGAATCGCAACGAATTCCAGGGTTACAGTCAACCTTCTGCACTTGGCACGTCGATGTCGCTACGTTGAATTTTTAACGGAAGGATACGGAGATCAGTCCGACCGGTGGAGTTTGGTGGAAATGAAATCTTAGAAAAGGATCGCACGTGTTGTTTTGTGTATACAGGGTTAGTCAGTAGAAACGCACCAGCAGATGTTGGCCGCAAGTGGCCGACACGGCAATGTGGCGTCTTCAAAAAATGACATACTGTGACCGATTCCCATAAGCGCAAACTGACAGTTCAATAGTTAGGTTACTGAAATAATTAATTAATATTGTAATGACAAAATGTAATATCAGTTAAGATTTATTTTCACAACAGATTGAAATTAAAACAATGTAAAGTTTAAAATATTCACAATTTTGATATTTCCAAGTAATTATCACAACTGCAATTCTGCAATTAATTTAAAAATCAATTAATTGAAATGTTTTTATAGCAAAAAAGTGCAGGAAAAAATCTATTGTGAAAATAAATCTTAACTTACATTACATTATGTCATTACAATATTAATTAATTATTTCAGTAACCTAACTATTGAAACGGCAATACCAAAACCATATCCGGGCACTCTTGTTACCGTGACGTGGTGGACTTCCCATCCTCTGTCACCGACCTGTAATCAGAAAAAAAGACAGGTGTAAAAATATTGATATGACTTATGTAATTTGTATTAATAGCCGACATTGGTTGCACTGTAGTATATGTCTTATAACGGTCTGTTCGCATGACACGACGTATATACTAAGTCTCCTGTAAATATCCTGGAATCCGGTTAATTAATTATGCTAGCGAAATGATGCAATGCAATTCGCCTCGGAGCGAATGTTGATTGCTTGTCACACCGTCAGCTGGTGAACATTCGCGAGAGCGTTTCCACTTTCGCGTTCGCGATCAAGGAAACTGTGAATTGTAACTGTCGAGCGTTAACCCAGTTAGAGTGTATCTCGCAAGGAAGAGTGGAAAGTTACGGGTGTCACTTGAAGAAAAGACAGGCGAGTTCTTCTCTTGGCAGGATCCACTGGAGTCGTTCGATCTACTGTGAGATAATTGTTTGGCTGAGAAGCTCTGAGGATACTGACGATAATGGAGAAGATGATCGAGATAATGATCAACGGCCGTAGTCACGCGAACACGTGTTGCCCACATGTTACTATGTAGAATTTAATCCGTAATAGCCGAGCAGCCAGTTCTCCGAAAGGGATTCAAACAAAAGTCTATGAAAAGAGGTTAACAGAGCGACGAGCACGGACAGACTGACGAAGTACGAAAAGACGCCGCTAGGATCGCCACGTTAGTAGAATGACTGCCAGTGGCAGTTTCACCCTGAGCTTTCTCCTCTCTCTCTTACACTCCCTCAGTTGCCAACGTACAGGGTTAGTCAGTAGAAACGCACCAGCAGAAGTTGGCCGCAAGTGGCCGACACGGCAGTGTGGCCTCTTCAAAAAATGATATGTGACTGTGGCCGTTTTCCATGAGCGAAAACTGACACTTTGAATAGCAATAAGGTTTTTGAAATATTTCAATAGTTAGGTTACTGAAATAATTAATTAATATTGTAATGACATAATGTAATGTAAGTTAAGATTTATTTTCACAATAGATTTTTTCCTGCACTTTTTTGCTATAAAAACATTTCAATTAATTGATTTTTAAATTAATTGCAGAATTGCAGTTGTGATAATTACTTGGAAATATCAAAATTGTGAATATTTTAAACTTTACATTGTTTTAATTTCAATCTGTTGTGAAAATAAATCTTAACTGATATTACATTTTGTCATTACAATATTAATTAATTATTTCAGTAACCTAACTATTGAAATATTTCAAAAACCTTATTGCTATTCAAAGTGTCAGTTTTCGCTCATGGAAAACGGCCACAGTCACATATCATTTTTTGAAGAGGCCACACTGCCGTGTCGGCCACTTGCGGCCAACTTCTGCTGGTGCGTTTCTACTGACTAACCCTGTACGTTGGCAACTGAGGGAGTGTAAGAGAGAGAGGAGAAAGCTCAGGGTGAAACTGCCACTGGCAGTCATTCTACTAACGTGGCGATCCTAGCGGCGTCTTTTCGTACTTCGTCAGTCTGTCCGTGCTCGTCGCTCTGTTAACCTCTTTTCATAGACTTTTGTTTGAATCCCTTTCGGAGAACTGGCTGCTCGGCTATTACGGATTAAATTCTACATAGTAACATGTGGGCAACACGTGTTCGCGTGACTACGGCCGTTGATCATTATCTCGATCATCTTCTCCATTATCGTCAGTATCCTCAGAGCTTCTCAGCCAAACAATTATCTCACAGTAGATCGAACGACTCCAGTGGATCCTGCCAAGAGAAGAACTCGCCTGTCTTTTCTTCAAGTGACACCCGTAACTTTCCACTCTTCCTTGCGAGATACACTCTAACTGGGTTAACGCTCGACAGTTACAATTCACAGTTTCCTTGATCGCGAACGCGAAAGTGGAAACGCTCTCGCGAATGTTCACCAGCTGACGGTGTGACAAGCAATCAACATTCGCTCCGAGGCGAATTGCATTGCATCATTTCGCTAGCATAATTAATTAACCGGATTCCAGGATATTTACAGGAGACTTAGTATATACGTCGTGTCATGCGAACAGACCGTTATAAGACATATACTACAGTGCAACCAATGTCGGCTATTAATACAAATTACATAAGTCATATCAATATTTTTACACCTGTCTTTTTTTCTGATTACAGGTCGGTGACAGAGGATGGGAAGTCCACCACGTCACGGTAACAAGAGTGCCCGGATATGGTTTTGGTATTGCCGTGTCAGGGGGTCGGGACAATCCCCACTTCACGAATGGCGATCCAGCCATCGCCATTTCGGACGTTCTCAAAGCTGGACCCGCTGAAGGGAAACTGCAGTAAGTTCAGATGGCGGAGAAATCATACCCCTGTAGTAATTTTGATGATCATAATGTTTCTAATACGCCATGCGGTGTAAACCACTCCTTTACTATTTTTATATTTCTTTTGGCGAATTACCGACCGTCGGTAATAGCGGTAATAGGATCCCTTCTCTTGCACCTTAACCCTCGGTTCTCGGCCGGTAAAAGAATGCCACGACGATTTACAACTCCACTACGTCGAATGGTAGTTGCGACCATCACGAGATAAGCATCGTTGGAGTTGATGGTACCTAAAGAGGGTGGGTGGAGATAGGGTGTATGAGGCCATCGTGTGCCGCATAACTTTTCATAATGGACTCTTGAGAAATGCCCCTGTCCGTTCTATAAATAGAAAAACAGCAGGCCACCGACCCAACGACTTACACTCTTATGGAGAATCAATCTTATACGGAAAAGATAGCGCGTGCTTGACGACGACGAAGCGGCTGCGAGGATGACAGTTAACAATGACAGATACACTATATGCATATTCGTAATCTTGTACACGGTGTATACGATATCGCTTATCGGCAGACGTGACAGATCGATTAATACGATTTGAACTATTCTTAGGATTCTTAATGGGCTTTCAGGGTGAACGACCGTATCATTTCCGCCAACGGGGTGTCTCTCGAAGGAGCAGATTATGGGGCGGCTGTTCGTGTACTCAGGGACTCCGGTTCGACTGTTCTCCTGGTTGTTAAGAGAAGAGCATCCTCGAACGCTCCTGGATCACCGGGAAGTTCTCAACCGCAGAGTCATCGACTTACCCTCACCAGGAATAACAAGAAGGATGGTAAGAGGAAGTTCAGGCTCCATTGTCTGGCTATTATTTTTACTGTGAGGTTCTAATCGCAGCATCGTTTAATATTGTTTTTCTTTTTTCATTCTAGACTTTGGAATAGTGCTGGGATGTCGTCTGTACGTGAGGGAAGTCACTCGAGAGGGCACTGGAGTGAAACCAGGTGATGTTCTGACACGGATCGGCGGTGTTGCTGCCGATAACATGAGTCTGAAGGAGGCCAGGAAGCTCATGGATCAATGTAAGGATCGGTTGTCGATTGTCGTCACCAGGGAGGCTCCTACCAATTTCCATGCTCATCAGCAGAGCAAGGGTGATAGTGGAGAATACTTGTCTGGAGCTAGTTATAGCAGTCAGAATCTCTATGTGCCACCGCCTACCAGACAACCCCTGGAGGACAAGAGTAATCTTGCTCCCAGAGGAAGGTCGAGAGGTCCTCTGATGGACGTATCCTTGAGTCAGCTTGATCTTCCGGCTACTCCTACTGTCGATCCTCCCAGACCTCCTCCTCCTAGACCCGAGGATTATTACAGCTCCAGGAGGCAGCTCTACGACGAGGATCCTCTCATACAGAGAGCCAAACAACCAATGTAAGTGACGAATAAACTTGATCAAGAACGAGTCCTTATGGATGTTAATATGTATTGTCGATTTTTTTTACCTCAGGCCGGATCCTCGATTCATCACATTCCAGAAGGAAGGTTCCGTTGGCGTTCGTCTAACCGGTGGCAACGAGACTGGCGTCTTCGTGACCGCGGTACAACCCGGAAGTCCTGCATCGCTTCAGGGTCTTCAGCCTGGAGACAAAATACTAAAGGTTCCTGGGATTCTAATATAATTCTATTTGCGTAGACGGCATGCAGAGAAAGAACGTTTCGATAATCCATTATTCCAATCAGGTAAACGACATGGACATGAAGGGCGTGACCAGGGAAGAAGCTGTATTGTTTCTGCTCAGTCTTCAGGAACAGATAGATCTCATAGTTCAGCATAGACGGCAAGAGTATGACCAAATCGTCGCTTCCGGTAGGGGCGACTCCTTCCACATAAAGTGCGTGATATTTTAATACTCTGATATGCCTCCTAGTAAATTACGACGTCTATTATATATGTTAGTACATCAATTCGTATTATTCGTAGAACACACTTTCATTACGAGCAGCCGGAAAAGGGAGAAATGAGTTTTCGGAGTGGAGACGTCTTCCACGTGGTGGACACTCTGCACAACGGCGTGGTTGGCTCCTGGCAAGTATTCCGTATAGGCAGGAATAACCAGGAAGTGCAAAAGGGAATAATCCCGAATAAGGCTCGCGCCGAGGAACTCGCGACTGCTCAGTTCAACGCGACCAAGAAGGAACTGAGTGCAAGTGAAAGCAGAGGCAGCTTTTTCAGAAGACGAAGAGGCAGCCATCGACGTTCCAAGTCCCTCGGTAGGGATCATTGGGACGATGTGGTCTTCTCCGACAGCGTCAGCAAGTTCCCGGCTTATGAGCGAGTCGTACTCAGACATCCTGGATTCGTTAGGCCAGTCGTTCTCTTCGGTCCTGTTGCGGACTTGGCTAGAGAGAAGCTACTCAAAGACTTTCCCGACAAATTTACGTCTCCTCGTAAGTCCAGGATAACGTTATATACATCTAATTCGTTAAGTCGAACGGATTAATATTTGTATTCATTACTTTCATTAGAAATGGAGAACCAAATGGAGGATGGCGGCGGGAAAAGTACGAAGTCCTCAGGTATCATTAGACTGAGCGCCATCAGAGAAGTAATGGATAGAGGAAAGCACGCTCTACTCGATATCACGCCGAATGCCGTGGATCGTCTGAACTACGCCCAGTTCTACCCCATCGTGATATTCCTAAAAGCAGAGACTAAGCAGGTCATCAAAGAGATGAGAGCTGGTATACCAAAGTGAGTTGAAATTAGGGACGTGAGAATCCAATGGGTGCCATTGTACCAGAAACAATATATTGATCTATCGTTAACAGATCAGCTCACAAAAGCAGCAAAAAGTTGCTGGAACAGTGTCAGAAGCTCGACAAAATCTGGGGACATGTGTTCAGCGCAGTGATCACTCTGACAACACCAGAGGCCTGGTATCGGAAGCTCAGGGAGTTGATCGATCGACAGCAGCAAGGTCCACTCTGGATGAGTCAGACCAAGGTAGGACCAATTCCAATTTCGAATCTTCTTGTACATTGGTTGGGCTTGGACACGTGTACCAAAAAAAAAAATAAAGGAATGCTCTTTCTTGCTGGATGTGTTTGTAACAAGTTGCTTGGCACTACTGGCAAAATCGAAACCTGCGACTGCACGTAATATGATTACGTATTTCGTAAACGTACGGTCTCTTGGTACATCCATACGTTCTGTAGATGCCTAGGTGCTAAGTGTCGGGTGGTTGGTGTATTTGTGTCACGTAGTCCCTGAGTGTTTTTTTTATTTTTATTTTTTTCATTGGGGACAATTTTCACTCATTAGTATACTATATACGTACAATTAGCATCTGACGAGGATTTTCAATGTACGCGTATTCATAGTAATCTTACGGTGTTGGTTGTAGCCCATAGAAATGGTGTCGGATCTTTACCTTCCTCCGTATCATCCCTACCGTCCTCCGACACCCCCGGCGCCTTGCGATACTACGGGGGTGTTCTACGAGTATAATAATAATATTAACGACCATCCACCTCCTCGTCCACCCTCACCTGTTATTTCACCACCTCTTCTACCACCACCATCACCACCACCACCACCCTTACCACCCTCGAACGTCATTCACGAGCAATTTTTCGGCTACATATAGATCCCACGTCCTTTTTTTTTTTACATTCAACTGTGCATGGGTCAATGGTTTTTGTGTCGCATATTTTTCTAAACTTTTTGATTTAATGATTGTCTTTTTTTAAATTGCATGATTCGTTAACGTAACCTCGATAAGGTATCGAACACGTAAATTTTTTATTTTCTCAAAAGTTTTAATTTGACTATCAGCTGATTCTAATGTTGTGTAGAAATGTTGTATACCACATTTCGTTAGTAGTGCTCGACGTAACGAAGGTGCATCCAAGACTTTTTCCTTTTGCCTAGTATAGATGATTGTAATACTAACCTATGCATACTTATAATCTAACGTAAGTAATATGTAATCATTAACCAATGTGACTATTCATTCGCATATACAATCAGCTGCAGTGCTTTCGCGCATAATTAATTAAATGTAAAAGTCTTCCCTCGCTCGACCAGAGACGAAATTAAAAGTAAATCAGAAAATTCGGATTACCGAAATTCAATTAATTAGTCTCGAGTCGATTCTCCCAGAGTTCTTTCGCGCTTTCATATCACGATTCCACATCATACTTACAATCCAAACCATGTAACGTCTAATGTATCCATATAACGTGGCGTCCTGTGTGTTCTGCGAGCGTAGCCGGAAGAGGCCCTCTCGGATGACTTCCTCTTCCCGATGACTTCACGCCTCTCCTACGCCTCCTCCCCGGAGAGTGACCTGGAATTAAGCCCTGCACCTCCCCTCCCTGGCGCCCTGGGACCACCGTCACGTCTCAAGAGTAGCTCGGATCCAAGTATCGCTACTCAGGATGATACAGCAGCACCACCACCTTATACCACGAATTATCAGGTACATATTATCATTTTGATGTAAGAGACGTCATCATCGTCATCAGATATTCATGAAGTCTATATTTTAGGCATTTGAGCAGCACAAGCGAAGATCTCAGGGCGGAGTTGGAGACAGTAAATACGGTTTCTCCTTACCGGGTCAACCTGGTGATCAGCCAGGACATCCTCAGTATCTTGGTGGACTACAACAACCAAGATCTCCGCATCAGGGTCCTCCTGATCTACCACCTCGAGTTGATCGTAATGTCAAACCACCGAATCAGACTCCTCGTGGTACGATTGGACGTTCCGCCCAGGAGAGATTAGCCAATAAGACTGACTCTGTGCTGGATATGGGGAATTATATAAATGCTACACCCCATAGAGCTAATGCCACATCATCGTTAGAGAGGGCCCAGCCAAAAGCCGTATGTTATCATTTTTCATTACTGGTATATTCATACATGGTCCTGGGCTTCTTCTTTATTCATAATTTTTTTTTTCTCAAATTTAGGGAAGTTATGACAGCATGTCCTCGTACGACTCGTATAACAATACAAACGGCAATGGGACTTATGCTGCTACCAGTCTGAACACATCTACAGGAAGACTAGGTCCCAATGTCCCGGATGATCTCAAAAGCGGAGGAGTACCCGTGTCCCCCAGAGCCCACGATCCATACAGGTTTACCAGATCCACGGCTCAGCCAATTCCGGCCCAGGAGATGCAGGCGCGGACTGATTATGCCAAATATAGGTAAACCATGTTAACCTTTTAAGTGAAAACCGTCAAGGACAGAGATCAAATCTTTCACTTCATAGAATCCGGTTTTTCCTTCTCAACAGGGTAGTGGCGCGAAAGCCTCGACCGTTACGACGTGCTTGTAGAATATATATTTCCCGACGAGATACCTTAGTTTGAAATGTACTCTGACCCTATTCTGTCCCGTCATCCCTTGCGCCCAAGTAAGCTAGACAGTTTCTGCTTTGTCGATTATAGCCGAACTGGTGATTACAAACCGGCACCACCACCTCAAGGGAAACCGGCTGGAACTTACAAGCCTGTACCACCTCCCAAGCCCAAGAACTACAGACCACCTCAGCAGCCTGTAGTTCAGGACGAAAATAATGGAAGCAGCCTGTACCAGCACGCCAAGAGCTACTCCATAGCCACGTCGCACCTTCACAATGGGGTAAGTTTTCTAAATGCATAGGTTCAGTCTAGTCTTCAAGAGTGAAGAATCCTTAACGAGAGATATTCGTCGACCTGTAGGCGGAGAATGGTAACAACGTGCAACGGAACAGCGGCCAGTACTACTACAACATCCCTCCGCCTAATCGCAACAACAGCGACGGCGGTTACCCCGTCGTCAACCTAAATCACAATCATAGTCACACAAGTCCACCGTCCCACAGTCATAGCCTGAGTCACACGCATCCTCATTCGAGTCCACCAATGAGTCATTCCCATAGTAACAGCGCTGGTCAGATAGGCCTCAGCCATGCACAAAATCGTACCAATCTCAATCACAATGGTCACAGTCACAGCAATAGCCACGGTGGTGGTGGTGGTCAAGGCTCCGGGGGCGGAAATACCGGGCACAACAGGGAACCAAGTGGACTGGATTTGGCGGGTAGTAGGGAACAAAGGGGAAGTGCTTTCGAGCTTTATCGAAAGCCACTGCATCATCACAATATAAGGTAGAGATCATTTGAATAACTCTCTGTGTTATACGGATCTGTCAAAAATTTAGCTTTTCTAACAGATATTATTTCTTTCGAGTGTAACGTGCGCAACGATCATTTATTAACGGTGCTGCTTACAATTATTACCAAAGAAACAGAGACAGACGGAAACAAATGCTAAGACACGTTTTACTAACATTCTCGGTGGTGGTTGATCATAGGAGGATGGGGATGGGTATGGCGCGAGGGGTATTCTGTAACGATGGCGGTGTTCTGGAAGGTCCCGGGGGTGTAAGCTTGACGATACCTCCCGGGGCTCTAGAACCGAACACGTCACAGGAAATCTACTTCACTGTTACCGCCGCGCACACACTCGAAACACATAACACCAATCACGGTCATCGCTCGTCCATCTCACCTCCCATGCACCACGGTGAGCTTTTCACTACTCGAAAAACTAACATTTCATCAGGAACAATAAAAAATAATATAAAAAAGTACAGAGCGCATCCACACTACTCAAGTGTATTAGTAACTGTGTCATCTTGTTCGCAATAGTCATCAGTGTCTTATTTTTTTTCTGTTCTAAACAGGTGAATCCCTGCTAAGTCCGCTCGTCGAGTGTGGACCACGAGGCCTTGAATTTCGAGTTCCCGTAGAATTAAGGATACCTCACAATGCTACACCCGCACATCGACTGGCGCTCAAGGCCACCGATATCGAGAGTCAATCGAGCAACGACTGGCTGGACGTGAAATTGCCAAGTCCTACGTCGAATCATGTAACCGTGAAGCTCGATCACTTCTGAAGATTATTATTTATCCTTTCGTCTTGATGGACGTTGATCGTCGCGAAATTAATCGCGGCTTCACCTGCTGACCCCTCGTGCGCAATTCATGTGATACTAAGGACACGATCGAAAGCTGAGCTACGTTCTCTGTGAGAATCTTTTATATAAAGTGACACCTTCTGTTATCTTCCTTCCTTTCGACTCCCAAGTAATTGGCAGTTTTTTTATTAATTTGGACGCTAGGAGAAGCAGGGTTGAGATACCAAATGGTGAGCGACGTAGACGTTGACCTAATGGTCCTATTGATGTCGGATTAGTTTCACCCTCGCATTTATCAAAGAGAAGACCCTGCTGTTGCGACTCTTCATGTTTCGCCATTGAGTCAGGCGTTACGTCGTTAAACATAAGTTTAAGCTCCTAAGGCTTTTTTTCAATTGTGATTATCTTTTATACTTTACAGCTACACGTTTTCGTAAAACCACTATTGAACTAGCTAAAGTTACTCTTTATTTCTTATTCATTATATTAAGATGAATTCTCGTGCGGATGAGCCACTACACGATCTGTTTATTCATCATACACTTTATTGGGCCTCTCATTGTCATTCACTTTATTTTCCTTAATGACTTTAAGTCATCCTTAAAAGGAGAGCATGTATCAAATTCCTATGTATTAATGTGTCAGAAATACTGTCCAGGTATACTGAACGCGTAGCGGCTCGTCAAAATTGCACTACTCAACGACGATATGTGTAACGAATCGTTAGCTGTAAGCCCCTTTATAAATATCTAAGCGATACCACGTAAAGAAGCTCAATTGTTAATTAGCAAGAATGAATATGTAACAAGAGAGTGATAAATCTCGATATTATTCTAGCAATTATTAAATAAACAAATCCCACGTTTTCATTCGTTAAAAGTTGCATAAATCATATTATTTTTAATATGATGTATTGTCGGAATTAAACAATTTTTCTTGTCAATAATGTGAATATAATGATCAAGGTGCGTACGTCCAAAAGTTCCTACAGAGAAGAACTAGTGAAAGAATAAGAATTTTGGGCTATTATACATCTGTATGTATGGGATCCCCATTACGGTGCCATCAAAAGTGGAGATTTCAATTATTAAAGAGGGCAGCACCTTTTACAGTTAGCTGGGTTCTCTCTATATTTTTGTTTCATGCTTAATTCAGTTCTAATCATTCACGTCTGTAGTTTACGTTACTTACGTTCCAATTTGTGTTTCATGTTTAAGTAATTAGTCTTTGTGGACGTAGTTCTGTTATATAATGTATTTATAAATTGATATATTTACATACGTAATGCTTAATACAAAATATGCAAATATTATTGCATAGGCAAAGTAAAGACGACTATAATTTCTGAATGATTTCTTTCTCCATTTCACAGAGTTCGTGGTAAATCAGGGATTAGGGTGGGAAATTAAATATTTGATACAGTGTCTACTTTGTGAAAGGAGTGCCCTCTTGGATTTTCATTATCTCTGTAAAAACTTTCCATTAAGTTTGATCATCTGACTAGCACAAATCTTTCTTTTAGTATTAATGTCGGAATGTTGAAAATTCCGAAAATTGTGATTGTCGGTGCTGGGGCGGCCGGAATTTCAGCTGCTTCTCGTCTGCAAGAGAGCGGTTTGCAAAACATAGTGATTCTCGAGGCTGAAAATCGAATCGGCGGTAGAGTTTATACCACGAATTTTTGTAAGTTAAACAGTGCTTTATATTTGTTATCGTATATAATTATTTGGAGAGTGACAAAATTTTATTTTGATAGTTTGAAATGACGCGTTTGTTTTGAGTTTTTATAATTTTCTGTCGCAGCTGAAAATGTTGTGGAACTAGGAGCACAGTGGGTTCACGGTGAACGTAATAATGTGGTCTTCGATTTGGCATCTCCTCTCAATTTGTTAGACTCTTCAAGAAATATTAATGACTTCACCAAGTATACGTTTGTGGACGTGCATGGGAATATTTCATCCCAGGAACAATGCACTGAGGTATTGAAAATATATTATGATATTAGCGATCAAGCAGCTAATGGGTTGAATCATATGGAAGAATCATATGGAGAATATTTTACAAGAGAGTAAGTTCAATTTAATATTTTTTCTTCTTTAATAACAAATTAACATTTTTTCAAACTTATCTTCTCTGCTATGATATCAATGTCACTTTCTCTAAACCATACCTTTAGAACAGGATTAAGTTCAAATCTTAGTACCTCGGAGATTTCCTTGTCTGGTATAATACATCTAAAATTTAACATTATAAACGTTTGGGTATTATCATTTTGTATATAGAAACATAAAGTACTAGTCCACCATACCTCACTTGCTTATTCAGACAGTTGCGGGCAAATTTGTTTCGTATCATTGTATAAATATATTTAAGATACTTGTGGTCAAGTTCCATAAGTGATAGCGTTTCTTGAGAAATGGAACTGTTCATTGCTCTTATATAGTCTACCGTGAGTATGGGTACAATATAATGAACCTAAATAAATATTTTTTATATTATAAGATATTTTATAAGATGTCTCTTTGGAATTACCTGCGCCAAGCAATCATCAATGAACTCTTCACCTCTACTGAATACATATTCTTCTTGTTCCTGTAGAATAATTACTCCAATTTTTGGTTCTTTGTTCCTAAATAGTTTGGCAATACGATTTGCCGTTTGTAAATCATTCTTAGCAAAAGAAAGTAGTACTATGCTATTATAATGTTGTCCTGACTAAAATAGAAAGTAAGCATTATAAACGCTTTTGACAAAATAGCAGTGTGCAAGCATACCTCTATTCTTTGTGGTTTTATTCCTTTGTCTTCAATTTTCTTAATTGATATTTCTTTACCTTGTTTTGGTGGTCTCAAAATCTCTGGTGCTCGTTTCATAAAGTTTACTCGTTTAATATCTGAACCTTTAAAGGATATTCAATAATAATCCTTTTATTTATTTCATAACATTAATTAATTAAACCATTAGAAATATGTACCATTTGTACCTTTATGAGCAAGAGCTTTAATTAAATTTTCAATGTGATCTTTAATCCTATTAATAACATCAAGACGGTTGATCTTCTGTAAACTGAATATAATTTTATCCAAAGTAGAATCGAAGGACTGTACATAAGTCAATAGTACAAAATATGTTGGATCTTCTGGTCCTATGAAGTAATACTTTATGGCCTATAAATAATATTTTATATCAGTACTTTTAACTATATTAGATTTAAACCAAATACCCTGAACTTACACGTATCTGCTCAATTGTAAGGCCAAGTGCTGCTCCAAAATCTTGCCAGTTACTATAAACCTTCCCTGTATCTGTGGAACTCAACGCAAGACATAGTTCGCGACGCAATTGTTCTCCTTCAGGATTAAATAAATAACCTGCATGAATGCGCGACGTCTGTCTCACAAAATTCAATATGAGTGTATCCAAATTCGGTGGTCCATCTATTTCGTTTCTCAATTTTTCTAATTTAGGGTCAACATTTCTAAAATAAAAGTTAATCGGATATTCGGTATGATCAATGCAACTCATTCGCCATAATAAATCAATAGTCGGACTGCCAGATCAGTTCCAATTTGAGAGGACTTATTTACATTTCGCTTTGTGTAGGAGATGGCCCTTCAAAGTAGAACCGATTTCATGGCCTGACTACAAGTTAACTTCACTTTACCTTTTGGCAAGCATTATGAACCTGCTTCATAAATGAAAATATCCGCTTATATTGCAGCAACAATGCTCAACCTAAATATTGCAACGTAGTACTTTGTAATGAATTGTTGTAATCATTAAAGTAAACATTTAATATTTGGTTAAAACTGGTACGACTTGACAGCTATACAAGATTACTTTTACTGCTCCAAACCAGATCCCGGATGTGATTCATAATTGCGATAAGAATTACCGCGCATATTTGAACTATAATCAGTCCACGAGTTCGATGTATTTCTTTGACAGATCGGAAACAGTGAAGTCTCAAGCAAGGCACACGTGTTACTACATACATAAAATATTTAGTAAAAAGTATGCATATGCATGGGCTTGCAGGAAATATATTTTACTTTTCTATTGCAGTATTTAGTTACATTATTTTAGGGAATATGTGATTTGCTAAAGATTTTATTGCTTGCAAATTGTCAAAAAACATATTGAACTCATTGGCCAAGTATAAGAAACATTATACGGCTTATTGAAATAACTATTACTTAAGGGTTTAATTGCATCTTTCAGATTTAGCAGAGCTTATCGAGCAAATCCCATTACAGATAATTCTAAGGAGGATATGTTTTTGAATTGGGTAGAAAAATTTGATAATTCGCTCCAGTGTTGTGACAGTTGGTTTGAAGTTTCTTCGAACCGACTGAGAGAATATTGGAGCTGCGAAGGGGACCATTTGCTCAATTGGAAAGATAAGGGTTACAAAACTCTGTTTGATTTATTATCTGTACGTTGTACAACCGTTTAACCATAATGTTTCTCTCAAAAGAATTTAATCTATTTTTATGGATATATTCGTTTACAGAGAAAATATCCTGATTGCAATAAAGAGTTGCCTCTAAAGGATAAGGTAGTGTTCAATAAGGAAGTATCCAGAATTGATTACAGTAATCCTAATCGGATTGTTCTAACAACAACTGATGGATGCGAATATATTGCGTCACACGTTATATTCACTGCTTCTCTAGGCGTTCTTAAAGATCAGCATAAGACAATCTTTAAACCGTCTTTATCAGAAATAAAACAGCGTACTATAAAGGCACGGTAAAAGTTCGCATCTAATAAACAAAATGATATTTAATCTTTTATAAAAGCTCCTTATGTAATTCATGATATTTGTAATGTAGGGACTTAACATAGGAACAGCGAACAAGATATTTCTTGAGTTTCCTCATCGATGGTGGCCTGAAGACTCTGCTGGTTTTAGTTTTGGATGGACAGAAAGTGATCTGAAGAAATTTATAGAAGAAAATGGAAAAGTACGAGACTTACCAAAATGTTTTTTGTTCGGTTATGCATAAATATCTATATTTACAATATCGTATATATATTTTTTATAGCAATATTCAATTGTTTTTTATGTTTTAGGATAATCAGTGGTTATGCGACGTGTTTCAATTTTTCACAGTTGATTATCAGCCAAGAGTTCTTTGTGCATGGATCGTGGGACCCAACTCCAGATATTCAGAAACATTATCAGATTCTACGGTACTGAATGGCTTGTACTTTTTGCTCGAGACATTTCTCAGCAAGTCATACAATGTTCCAAGGCCAGATAAGATGATACGGTGAGAAATCGTGCCAGTTTCTTTCAAGTTTTTCCCATTTTCGCTATATTCAAGTGATATATAGTTGTTTTTAAGTGACAAAAGTTTAGGAACCTGTTCACGTATATAAAAGCGTCCAGCAGGCATTCTAGAGGTTAAAGAATATCCTAACTATACTTTATTATTTTTACAGTTCAAAATGGTACACGAATAAACATTTTCGTGGGTCTTACACCTTCCAGAGTATGACATCTGAGAAAATGAATGTGTTTATAAAAGATCTAGCTGAACCCATCACTACTCCCAATGGAACTCCTGTAAGTTTACTTATATTTATTTTTTATCTAATTTATCGAACTAGTCAGTTTTTTAAATAAATTTCTCACAGACGTTCGAGACGTTCATATTAGATTTTGACTAGCTATTATTATAGTATTCCGATCATCGTTCAAGTGAATAAATATTAAATTTGCTTACGGTTAACTTTATTCCTACATAAATTTTTATAACTTGGGCAGCTCGTCCTCTTCGCTGGAGAAGCTACCAACGATCATTACTACTCTACGGTGCACGGCGCAGTGGAAACTGGCATCCGCGAAGCTGATCGTTTGATCGATCATTACAGGTAACACATAATACTCCATATTGGTTATTATTATTGCGGTGTTGCAGATTATTTATTCGTCAGCGATTATCAGAGTATAATCAGATAGTTTTGAAAAGAATCCATATGCTATAACTATTTATATTTTTCATTTGGAATGGCATAGTTGTCTATTAAAAGCAAAGCATGGCTATGAAGCATGCATGAAAAGCAGGCATTAAGACTTTTTTTGTTCTTGAGAGATTTCCTTGGCGATTTCGAACGTTTAATATATCTGACTGAGCATATCGCGTATTATTAATTGTATTCAGAATTTGTTCGTATTTATTGATTAGCATGATTTTTCTTAGGCAATTAAAGTCTCATCTCTAACAGAAAACTACGGTCCTCATTATTAATGGAACACGGTAAACTCTTAATCATTTCTTAAAAGTACATCCTAATATAAAGTACAGTCACACTAGTGTAGCGTGGTCAATAAATAATCAAACATGAGTGATTCTCTTTGATTTCATTTATTTCTTCCTGTAAAATTCACTCGCATTTCAAAAGCATATGCATCCTATCGTCACGTTTGTAAAGTAAAAATCATTGTCTTTAGATGTCAGTATTGCATCACGTTGTACATGTCTGTTCTGTTTTCTTTCTGTCGCAAATTTTCTACTATTTAATAAAATGAAGTTTACAAATTTTCACTTTGAGACTTTGCAGAGCTCTACTCTGTCAATCTCAAGTATCATTGTTAAGCTTTTCAAAAAGTGATGTCGTTTTAATATGAAGCATTTGGATGACATAGAGCATGTGGTTGGTTCATGCAGTTGATCGAAAACTACCCTGAGCACACAAAAATAGAGGAACAACCAAGATGGTACCTTAAAGAAACAACAAAGCTCGTTATTGTTGGTGCTGGTCTTGCTGGTCTCACTGCAGCTAAAACTTTGGAAGATGCAGGCTTCAAAGATTATATATTACTGGAAGGTAAGAGAAAATTTTAGTGACGTTTGAAGTGCGTTCAGGTAAAGATTATTCTTATCTTCTAGCTCAAGGACAAGTTGGTGGTAGAATCCGTTCAAAATCCTGGGACAACGATTGGATAGAATATGGAGCACAGTTTCTGCACGGAGATCAGAGTAAACTGGCTGATCTTTGTCGTCATTACAAATTGCTATCCGATTCTCCATCCAGCGAAGCTCAAGGTTACTACTTGCGCGATGACGGGATCCAAGTCGACGAATCTTTAGTGAGAGAGATCGACAACCTGGTGCGTGACAGTCTCGAAGAATGCGAGGTTCATGCTCGAGTAGAAATGCCACCTAGTGAATTTAAAAGTATTGGTAAATTATTGCGCAGTCGATTTCAAGATTACCTCAGAAAAAAATCAGATTCTGCCAGCATCAGAGCTGTGCGAGAACAGCTCTTCGATTGGAACGTTAAATTCCTGATGATAGATAATTCTTGCTTCAATCTGGATGAACTCTCCGTACAATCCTGGGGAAAATTCGAGGTAGCGTTTTGAGCATCGAAAGAGTTACTATCTTATTTCCTGATATTTAATTTTTTATTTTTCTACTGTTCAGTTCGTCGGGGGATGCGAACATACTGTATTTAAGACTGGATATGATTCTCTAACACGGACTATTGTCAATGGTCTCAGTAGGAAAAATCTGAGACTGAACAGTCCTGTAGAAAGAATCGAATGGCGATCAAATGTAGAAAGAAATCACCCCAACGATAAACATAAGAGACCAGTCGCCATCACTCTCTTCGACAAAACTCGAATCGAAACAGACTGTGTTATTGTAACCTGTTCATTGGGCTACTTGAAAGAGAATCATAGAAAAATGTTTATACCCTCATTACCTTGTAGGCTGACAGAAGGAATCGAGAATTTGGGATTCGGTGTAATCAACAAAATTTTCCTGAAATTTGAAGAACCCTGGTGGACACCAGGAACCAAAGGCTTTCAATTCCTATGGTCGAAGAATCAGCAGAATATTTTCAAGCAAAAGTTACCCTCCTGGACAAGAGATTTGACAGGTTTCGATGTACTTGCCAACCATCGAGCAGTTCTACTTGGATGGATTGGTGGTAGAGGAGCTCAGATCATCGAGTCCCTTAGCGAACGACAGATTTTGAATGACTGTGTAAATTTGTTAAAAATTTTTTTAAAAAAGGATGACATTCCCATTGCAAAAAAATGCAAAAGAACGCAATGGAAGTCTGACAAGTACGCGAGAGGAAGTTATAGTCACATTTCAGTGAAGTGCGACGACCTTGGTATTTCACCAGCTACCTTAGCTGAACCAGTCTGGGCTACAGTGCAATACGATTCGCAGAGTGAGGTAATGAATAATGTGGATCATCTTGTTGCTGAGTAATAACAATGGATATTCGTTATTGTATTATAGAGAATGCCAGTAATAATGCTAGCTGGAGAGGCGACCCATGAAAATTTTTATTCAACGACTCACGGTGCATTTGACACCGGAATCAAGCAAGCTCAAATCTTTTTACGTTATCATTCATCGGATAGAAATTAAATGCAATTTGCAATACTCAATTATAATTACATAATTGCACACGTACAGAAGAGTATGTGTTTATAAATAACAAATATAGGAAATTCAATATAAACAACTTGAGCAAGATTATATTTAAGATCAAATCCTGACATCATTTGACATTTATTACTGCAATATATTTTTATTTACGAGTATGTCTCATATTAGTATAGTGAAATAAGTCTATTAGCTTCGCGCCAGCCAGATTCTACTGCTCCATGTACAGTGGAATAACGATGCGCATTGGTAGCTTCCCCAGCGAATATAACAATCTAAGAAAAAATAGAAATACATTTAGAGATCACACGTTGTGTATCACCTTGAAATTTATAAAAGTCTTACAGGTGTGTCGTTCTTCATCAAAGGTTCTGCTAACTGATCTGCCCAAACATTTTCACGTTCAGATTCAAGACTGCGATAGCTGTACGTTCCACGGAAGTGCTTATTGTTGTACCACTGAGTTCTACATTACAAGGAAAGCAATATGAAACTTTTAAGAATATTGAAACACAATTCTAGTCTTACCGTAAGACAGCTGTGGGAGCTGTCACGTTGTAAGACGTGCCAAATATTCTTTGAATGTATTCTGTCATATGTCTCAAGACTCGATCCTCTGGTATTCTCTCCATTCGACGAGCCCCAGGACCAGCCATCCATCCGCAGAGTAAACGGGGTTTGTGTTCCACAGGAATAAGTCCAAAGAGATCAAGAATCCAATCTCCTTCCGTCTAAATGAACAAGTTCATCAAATTAGCTAGACGTTTGGAGCGTAAATTTAGTAGATATAGTGATACGTACATGATTTTTAAAATACTCTTTATCCTTATCATCCCACAATATGTTGAAACCACCAGACCCACTAGGCCACCATGTTTCGTTAAACGAGAGGTAAATCTTGGCTACGCTACCAAATGCCAGCCCCTATAAACGTTCTTTTTTTTTTAATACGAAGTCCAGGCAAATAGAACATGGTATTTAAATTTATATCAGGTGCAAACAAACCTTGATAGTTTTGATTTTCAATTCTGGTAGTTTCGGACTAAAGAGGGTATTGTATTGTTCCTTCAATACGCCCAAAGAAGTAGTAACGATAACGTGATTGGCTTCATAAGTACGACCATCCGTCGTTCTAACTGATACTGTATTATTGGTATACGTATAATTGATGTTCGCTACTTCCGCATTATAAATCGTATTATTCAAAACTGGTAATTCTTCCATAGGATCTGGATATCTTTTCTGTAACAAGGCATACAGATAGTATAACGAACGATCCATTGATAAATGCGAGAAATTGTTTATGATACTTTTAATTATTGTCTCTTGCACAAACCATCAATATATCAAGGATGAATCCATATCCTCTTTCCTTCCAGTTGATCACATGATCCCCAGCCGAATCCCAGTACTCGATATAACCTTTTGCCGAAACTTGATGCCAAGAGTCAGAGGCGTCAGCCGAGTTCTGTAGCTGCTCTATCAATCTCGTCAATTCCTGCCTTAAGTTCTCATCTATTCCGGCTTCCTTATAGTAGTCGTTTAATCTGCAGAATACATGACGATTTTCCATATAACATAGTATGATCCATTATAGCAACCATAATTATAAAACTGTGTGTACCGTTGCTCGAAGTAAACACCGATCGATCCACTTCTGTTCTTAAGATCGTTCTTAGCCTCAGCAGCAATCCTCAGGTAAACTTCAATGATACTTTCCCCCATCTGTTTTGAGATTTCTGTACCGTTTGTAACAAAAAGCTGGCTGTTTAAATATCTATTGGAGGATCGCTCCAGTAAATCAAGTGGCCAAGCTAATTGGAATACAACATTGCCCTCTTCGCCATGGACCCATTGACCGCCGAGGTCGACCCAGTAATCAGCTGGAAAGAGATTCATCGTTTATGAGAATGACACAAGGATGAGTTTGAAAAATTCGGAGTTTAATTTCTTTACCGAATCGCGTAGTGTGGACACGCCCACCGATTCTATTCTCAGCCTCGAGGATCGTGACGTTTTGGAAGCCGTGCTCGAAGAGTTTTGAAGCTGCTGCAATACCGGATGAACCAGCACCAATCACGATGACACTTGGATATTTGGAATCACTGCAAACCTGTGAAACGAGACAGGACAACAGCAGCGTCCAACACCACATTTTAGTCAACTATATATCGCGTATGATTCTTGTAGGAAGTTTACAAATCACTCGCGCAAGCAGCTCGGATAAGGCTTCTTATAATACTCGTCGTCATCATGGTATCATATATTTTAGCGACTTATTTTCCAATCAAGAGTTATATCATTGAACCTTTGAATAGTGAACTATGTGCGCTTGACCTCGGTCAGTTATATGTATAAAGGCAGCCCATTTTTTTTATTGTTCGATACATGTTTTGCTATTTCTTTATTCATTGAACCATATAAATTCGATAACTTGTCTGGAGCTTTTAGTTTTTAGATATTATAATGCTGAAGGTCTTTGATTATATCTTTGAAATATATATGTACGCATGAAAACTTTGTTCTTTCTACTTGAAGAATTCAAAGTTATCGACCGTGGATACTTCAAGTATCAAATATATTATCAACAGAATTTCTGTTGTTCACAGTAGAGAACAATTGTAATTTGGTATTTTAACTTTTGAAGGATTTGATTTTAGCTGTTTTGAGACACATTACAATAACTATTGAAAGCAATGTAAAAAACAGTTGACTGTAAAACATTATACAATTTATTTTAAATCGTAAGTATTATCAGAGATGAGTAGGGAGTGCACAAGAATACGGTTTTAGGCGGTTTAGGCATTTTTAAGAAAGTGCGGTGCCAACTTGTCACCCGTGTAGCACCTCCATTTTTACAAAATATTATTCGATCTTGATTTACTTTCAACATTTATTTAAAACATAAAATTGAGACTAAAGCAAAATGTCGCAGAATATATGAAGTAGATAAAAATTTAATTGAAATTGTAGAATATCGAAAATAAATTACGTTCAAATTGAAATATTAATAAGTTAGGTGTTTGGAACATTTAAATAATTAATTAAATCAATAAAGTAAAATATTAACACTTAGAAGTCGGAAATTCTGGTCAAGCATATTTAGAAATACTGGAAGTTGCCCAAAATTGTGTGCGCGCAGGTTCGTCGCGCAGGACTCGGTGAGCCGGAACAGGCGGGTGGTGGGGAGGGCGATCGAGGCAGCGCCCGGACTCGGAGCGCTCATTCTTCCTCGAGCCGCTCTCCTATACTGGTCTCTTGGAAACATTCCTCATATTCATTTCCAACCTTCTTCAATTTTTATATTTATTTCTTCTTGACTTCGTTATTTCTTTATCTTTCATTCTTCACTTTCTTATTTATCTCTTTCTTCATTTCTTTTTCACTTTTATAACTCTACTCCTTACTTTTGTACTTCTTCACTTCTTCACTTCTTTATTTCTATCTTCATTTCTTTCTTCTCGTTTCGCTTTGTTCCCTCTCACTTTTCATTGTATTTGTCTTACTTTTCCTATTCCTTTGGTCGGGTCGAGCATATTCATTCAAGTAGTCATATAAGAGTAGTCACCCTGTTAGTGCAGCTAGACTTAAGACCATGGTGTCGGGGGTTGCCCTTCCGCCTCATCCGCTGAGCTTGCTCAGTGGTTGGTGGCCCAAGTTGTGGCCGCAACAGGACTTTTCTTATTATCTTATTCTCACTTCTTTATTTCTATATCCATTTAAAACGTTCTTCTTCTTCTATATTTATTTCTTCTTTAATTCCTTATTTCCTTATC